TCCCTCCCTTCACACCCCCCTCTGCTACCGTTCCCCTGTATGTAATGCTGAGGGCGGTCTACCATAATCTTCTTCTCCTCACTTCCCTTTCGCCAATAGCAGTTAAATCCAGAAAATTTTTCTTTTGTTCTTCACCTCCTTGCGCGTGGACCAGGTTTGAGAGGCAAGTCCCACTCCCCTCCTCAGGCTTTTACATCACTCAGGCAGCTCATGTGTGTGTGTGTGTGTGTGTGTGTGTGTGTGTGTGTGGGGAACAAGGAGAGGTGGTGGTGGGGAGCCGCGCGGGGTGACCACCGCTCATTACATAACCACAGCCCGGCTGCCAGAGGGAGCCTCCGGGCCTGACATTGAGACTTTCCAGGAGGGAGGGGAGTTGCTGTCCTGGAATCGCCAGGAACAGCGGCGGCAGTTCCAAGAAACCGAGAGAGGAAGGTGCCTGAGATAAAGAAAACACTTCAGGAATGAGAATGTTAAAAAGCCGCGGGACCCAGAGCAGTAGCAAACGGCTGGGCACGTGTAGTAATTTGTCAGATGAAGCGGCAACCTTCCAACTTTTGCACGGGGAACGAGGGATTTGCCCATTGGGGGATTAAAAACGTAATAGAAAAGCCAAAAACTAATGAATGGAGTTCAATGGTTTGTTGAAAATACATAAATATTTCTGTCCGGAAGCGCGAACTCTATGCAGTTGCCTAGAAAGTAGAAACTCAAACCAAACTCTCCCGTGCGTCTCCACTTTCCTCAATCCGAAAGAGCAGCTCGCGCGGTACTGCCCCTTTAAGACCTGCTCGCTCTCTGGCTCTACAAAAGGGAGTGACCTCTGGGCTTTGACAGCTCCCCTAATAACTACCACCGTTCAGGCTCCGCCCACCTGGCGACCAGTGGCGCCGATTGGCCAGCGGGCCGGTATCCCGTGCTCTGATTGGCTCCCCGCTTCCCCTGAGCGAACCTTTAGAACTCTGAGACAGACAATATTCTGTTACATTGTAGCAAAATGGCGACTGTCATTCACAACCCCCTGAAAGCGTAAGTAAGACTAAAAAATGTACATATTCCGCGTGGTTTCAATATGAAAAAAAAGGCGCCTTCTGCGAGCGGAGCGCTGCCAATGCACTGCGCTCGCAGGCGCCTGCAGCCGCCGCGGGGCTTCCCTCTTTTCTTTCAGCTCTTACTTCTTCATCTTTTTTCCCCCCAACACGCAGAAATGTCAGGAGATGCAATTAACAAGAAGAAAATTGTTACATTTGTGTTCTGCTTAATTGGCGCAGGGAGCGAGAGAAGGGATACCGGCGGGGAGCCCAGCGCCCGAGCGCTCTGCAGCTAGGGGGTCGCGGGCAGCTCGGGGACAACACGGTCCCCGGAGTGCCCGGCCTCGCGGGGCGGCGAGCGCTGCGCGGGGGGCGGCCTCGCGGGGGACGGGCGCGGGGCAGGGGACGCCCGGGTGCACTTGGCTGAGCTCCGCACCTCCGGAGCCCGGGTCCCCGCCCGGCGACTCAGTCCGCTCGGGCGAGCGGACCGCGGCTGCTCGGAGTTTGCAGGGAGCTCTCCGCCTTCCGATCGCTGGCGGAGAGTTTGTGTAAACCTCCCGGAGTTGGGAGGACCGCAGCGGGGCAGCGGGTGCCGGGAGCCCTGGGGCCCAGGTGGTTGCTCCGAGCTTTCCTGCCGGGGCAGCCCCCGGAGCGTGACGGCGCTCCGGGCGGTCGCCGGTATGTCTGTGTGTCTGTGTGTGTGTGTGTTTGTGGGTGAACGGGCTGTAGTAAATTAACGACTCGGCTTAACTTGGCGTGGATTTGGAAGCCAGAGAAGCTGCAGGTCTCAGGAATGGTGCTCTCGCTTCCTCCGGGTGAAAAGCCGAGGCGGGCGGAGAGGCAGCGTTTGCTCTCGGCCGGAGCGAGGGGCAGGTGCCTCTGGCCGCCGGGAGACTTTGAGCGGACGCCCAGATCCGGGACGGAGGGGGGCGGGCTGCACGAGGACACGCGGGGGCCAGTCCCCGGCGCCCGACAGCCAATTCCTGCCTGCCTTCCTCCGCCTTTTCATCCTGGCTTCCTTCCTTCCTTCCAGTCGGTGGAACTGCTAAGCCGCCAAGTCCGCTCGCGATCGCGGAGCCGGAGGTGGCTGCGGAAAACTAGCGTCGCTCCAAAAGGGGTGCTGTTGGCAGCGATGTTGGCAGAAGGGAGCTCCCTCCGGATCACGGCGCGACGTGGGTGGGGGTCCGCGCGGGGAGAATCGGGTCTTCCCAGCTGTCCTGGAAGCGGCGGTCGAAGGGAGGGGGAAGTGCGGGTGTGTGTGTGTGTGTGTGTGGTGTGTGTGTGTGGGGGGGTTCGTGCCGAATCCTCGAGGGTGCGTGGCGGACACCCACCCAGATACTTTCAGCTCCGCGCAACGGCGTCCGCACCCCTAGCTCCTCCTGGAGTGAAATCCAGGTTCGCACCCGGGGGCGGAGGGGGGTGGGGGTGGCGGCGGCAGTGGGATTCCTATTGCGAAGGAACGCTCGGGGAGAATGAAACGCGTTTGTACCAGCTCATCTCCCATCTGCAATAGGGAACAGGGGTAAGAATGTCCCAGGTCTTGGAGTTTTACATATACGCGTACACATGTTAAAGCTGCTGTTAGGAGGTCTTTTGAACCTGAGGCTGATCAGAGAGCAGCGGCTCCCGGCATCCGTCCTGGCTGTGGAGCGCTGACACACTGCACTTGATCGCCACAGCCTCTCTACCCAAGAAAGAAAATGTTTTATGGCAGAACAAATGGGCGTAACTTCGCCGCATCCTCTCTCTCTCCCCGCGGCTCGCGCTGGCCAAGCCGCTGATGCTGTGAGTTTTTACCGAGCCTTTGGCTGACTTGCAGTTTAGCCGAAATCACATACTCAGGTCGATGCCTCCGGGTCAATTCAAGTTAGAGGAATCCACATGGGCGCCAGGTTTGTTGCCTTTCGGGAAAGCGGTACCCTGGTTACCCTGGAGCCGGTGTACGCGCGGGCGGGCGCAGAGACTTTGCGCCGCTCGCTCCAGGTTTTTGTTTATGTTTTTTCCTTTTGGACCGCAGAAGGGTACGTGTTCCGGGGAGGGTGTCTGTGTAGGGTTAGAGGTGGGGGGAGGGATAGAAAAGCGGTCTGGTTAGTGGAATTAGTTATGAATTTTTATACTCGAACTTTATAATTAGAAACAGTTGCAATGGGATGCATTTGTAGTTCCGAGTCGCCGTACACGCCTACACTAGCATACACGCCACACTCCGGCCGGCTTTTTCTAGGTGGGAGTTGAGTGGTCCTTTGTAATTAGCTGCTCCTTTTTGTACCCCAGCCCCTTTCCCTGGGGGTGAGAGGGTGTAAACAATACCCCCGGCCAGCCGAGCCTCCTGCAGGAGCTTTTAACCTCCTAAGGCGGGAGCAGGCACGTTGTTTTTTGGGAGACGTACACCATCTGCCTTTATTTTTTTAAGCAAGTTGTTTAATAAAACACCTTATTTTTCATTTGTTTTTAAAAGTTGCTGATCGGGAGACAATACACACGTGAATAAATTATGCATGGACTAAATTAGAACAAAGCGCAGAGGCTCATCAAGCCAAAAGGCTGCGTGGATGGTGGTGCTGGGAGGAGGGGGTGGGGGTGGGAGGAGGAAGGTTTGGAGACCTGTTTTCTTCCTCATGTGTCCCTCCTGACAATGAAACGTAGCTGAATGACATTAGCATTTTCTCTGTGTGCTTTTGAGCCTCTCTCCCCTAAGGGGAAAAAAAAAAAAAAAAAAAAGCCAGACACCACTGCCGCCCCCTACAGAAACTGGTCAGGTCACACAAAGGTTTCTTCTAGGATTGGGCGTAAGGTGGTGGTAGATAAAGTTCTGGGAATAAATGAGATCAGGTTTCATGCCACACCTCTGTAGGGCTCTGTCTGCCCAGAGTATTGGACATTTTTCATTTATACTTGCTTTCTCCATGTGGGACAGTCAGTAATTCAATAGCTCAGGTAGCTGGATGGCACAATTTGAATCTCATTGCTTTGGGGTCTTCCTTAGGAGCCCCAGCCCCTGGAGCCACATCTCCTCTCCGCAGTTTGGCTTTCTTCCTGCCTGCCTTTGATCACCCCTCAACCCTCTTTCTTATTCCTCCTCCTCGTACTCTTCACCCCCCTTCTCTCTGAAGCTGACAGCCTGGCTTCTCTTTCTGTTGTTGCCGTTAACATCTTATTACTGCCCAACAGGGTGTTAGAGGCAGAAACAGGAGCTGCCTGGACTGATCAGATCACAAAGGGGACTCGGCAGGTGGCCACACAACCAGGCAGTCACATCTGGACAAATAGAATTTAAAAGCATAGATGGACATGTATGAAGTGTAAATGGGTATTACATGTTATTTAATTTAGCAGCTACATTGTCTGAGCCTAGATGTGTGAGTCACCTCCATTTATTACACCTACAAGCAAGATAAGGACCGTGTAGTGAAGTAATTACACATGTAGGTAACATAAATATGAATTGGATAAAGGTCTGTGTGTAAATCAGTCACGTTACATATTGTGTTCTGGTTGATATCTGCATGCCTAGGAAACATAATGTTTTTAAATATAAATTCTAATCTTACTTGCTGTCCTAGTTCAGGTAAACCACCCTTCCCAAATCTGCTATCAACATGAAACAACTTACTTTTATTAAGTTATCATGACTCTGGATTGTATGCACTTAACTGGGAATGTCTGCCACCTTCTGCCAGACTTGATTATGCACATATGAATCTATTATTATAACTGCCTGCTTAGAAAAGAATAACTGTTATTATTATTTAATTATTCCTTGTAACAGGGCTTTAACTCAAGTAACTATTTGTTTATAGAGAATGAGACCAGTAAACTAATTTCTCATGCTTATAATTGTGATCATAGAAAATTGTACTAAAACTTTTTTTGCTAGAATTTTCACTTGCTTAGAGTGATTTAGTTTTATCTCTGTTTAGTTATTAAGGACACAGCTCTGGGAGAATTAGATATACTTACATAGCTAAGGTCAGACAGCAGGTCATGGGTATTGATGGACCTCAAATCTTCATCTCTATACATTCTATGATCTGGATACAGTGCATTCTAATCTGAAGTGGTTTTGTGCCTGGGAAAGTTGTGTCATTGTCAGCCACTTAGAAGCCAGACTTTGCTCTTGCTGTGGCAGGTTAGATACCAGAGACGGGTTAGGGGGGACGCATTCCTGGTTCTAATCTCCTCTTAGCTCTTTCTGAATGAGAGGAAGAGGGAACATTGAGGTTGGGACGTTGTGAGTTTGCAGCCTTTTATGGACATTGTAGCCCCTTATGAAAAAGGACCCTCAGACATTTTAAACCAACAGATGCCTAAGAACCACCTTCTCCATCTGCTTCTGGTTGCCACTGGAGGGGGGGAAAGCGCCCTGAATTCTCCAAGCTTCATTAGCGCACATTATTTTTCAGTGGGAAGAATGTCTGGTTTGGATGAGATACCCATAAAGGAGACTAATTTCTGCCAGAACCCAAGTGGAGGCATTGTCTCAGGGTAAACCTCTGAAAGTAGCCCGGCCTGCAGACCACCTGGGAGCCGCCCAGAGATCACAGTGGAATGCAGCTGCTCAGATCCATACGGTGGGCTGAAATTCAGGGGCAACTTCATTGGAGACTTATCTCCCTGTCTTTTTGGAATTATGCACGTCACTGGAATTTGGAATACATCTGAGAAAGACCATCATATCTGAAACTGCTTCAGAGCCATCTGCTCAGACAATGCCATAAAGAAAGATGTCGCAGGCAGCATGCTTTGTTTTGAGCTGGCACCAGAAAAAGAAAGGAAACTGAGTCTGCTGTTTCCGTTCTCAGTGCAGCCACACTGACTGTAGTGGTGGTGGGGGCTGGGCCATATAAAGGCAGCAGAGTCCAGGCCTGTTTTTTATCCCAACCTCTTGGGAAGTACCTTGTAGTTTTTTTCTGAGTGTACTGAGAGTCACCAGAAGACAGAAATGTAGCCTACTGTGGCAAGCCCCCGGCCAAGGAAATGCCACAGCCGTTGAAAATG